TAATTATAAGAATGTTCGCTGCAGCACTGTTAGAATAGTGAATGTCCATCAAAAGAAGATTGCATAAATAAATTGTGGCATAGTCATGTGATGGAATACACTGTTTCACTGAAAACAAAAGAATTGGAACTACATGTACCGACATAGATAAACCTCAAAAACATAACATTGAGACTTATGACACTATGTATATAAAGTTTAAAAACATGAACTACAGTGCTATAAATCATTTTTGAGCCGTGCATGTGTAGCAAAGAAATAAAAACACGTATGGATAAATACCACAACAGGATATTGGTTTCCTTAAGAGAGGAAAGGGAGGTGCGTTGGGTTAGAGAGACACATGCAGGTGATAACAATTTTATTTAATTTCTTAAATTTGGTGATTTTTGTGTACCTAACATTTTTTTATTGTTAAAAAAATTAAAGAGAACTGGAAGACGGGTAGATCGATTAGGCATGGGTGCGCATCGTGGGAAAGGTGGTGCTGAGAGTATGAGAAGAGGCTGAATGGATAGGGAGAGAGTCTCACCCGGATAGTCTGGAAAGAGGGAGCCTAGGTAGTCCAGATAAGACTTGAAATGAAAAGACAAAACTTAAAGGTGTATTTGGGAACTTAGAATTTCGAGTGAGAAGTCACTTTCTCAAATCAAGCCTGAGGATAAAATATTTTCGAGCTCTGTTTTAGAGTAACTGATGGGAAAAAAGGGCATGGACTGCAGAGCAGAGTCTAGTAACATTCGATTGTTTTATGAGTGACTTTGGGGGAAGGATTAGAGGCTTGCTTACTGAATTTTCAGATTCTGCAAAGCTGGGAATGATAACTAATATATTGGACAGAATCATGGTTTTTTAAAAGGTATAAACATTCTGGAATGAGGGCCTAAAGACAAGAATATTATTTCAATGGTTAAAATGTGACATTCTATACTTAAAAAATTTTTTCAGGTTATCTAATTACAAATCTTGATTTAACCTGAGGGTCTTGGCACATCAAAGGATAAATGTGGCCAATTGTGTGATGTTACTATTGAAAAGAAGTTTTAGAAGCAGAGTACCTGACTAGAATCAGCAACTGTTACAAGCAATTGGTTCAAGTATTAGGCAATGATAAATTACAATAATAAATTTAAAAGATTCCAGAGGAGGGTAACCAAAATTCTGAGAACATAGGCTACAAAGAGGCATCCTCCAAAAATCTGGAAAAAAGATTGCCCTTTGAGGATTAAACAAACAAAAAAACCCCACTTGTATGAGTGGGATTAGCTAATAACTACAGGGCTAATGCAAGACACTACCTATACATGCGTGACTTTACAGGTAAGTTAAATACAATCTCCGGGAGGTAGGGCTAAAATGTGATATAATAGAGGAGGAAGACACCTAATCAGTAATAATATTCCTTGTCTAGAGAAAGACTGGGTAAATAGAGTCGGGGAGAATAGCATGGAACACACAATAATTCTGACAGACGTTATACTTTTCATTATAAATCACTAAGTCACCATTATGTTTCATATTTCTGATAGCATGATTTAAATAGCATTTCTTATGTACTGACAAAATTGAGTTTCCAGACCAGAGACTGGTGTAAACTATCCCTGCTACAGGCCCTTCTTTGTCCTGGAAAAACATAAGGATATTCAGCTGGGAAGAGAAGCCAGAGGTGAGACCTGATACCTATCTGCACATGTTTAAAGTTCTTCTTGTAGGAACAGAGGTTAGATTCTCTTGATTGTTGAGGGCAGAGAATAGAACAAAGAATAGTAGAAAGAAAATACATAGACTGCGATTTTATTAGGCCAAAAGGAGGAACACACTAACAATTTGAACTTCCAACAGTGAGACAGCTATCTCTTTGACAGTTAGGATTCTTTGTTCATAAGCAGCAGGAAAAGTTTGGATAGCTGTAGCAAAATACACAAACAAATAAAATAATTAAAAGATATGAGGTGGCTTGCAGATTTGCAGGGAAATTTGTAGTATCTAGCCTTAGAAAGACAATGACTGAGGCAGCTATAGTCATAGAGGGACAGGAAGCAAGGACTGTTTCTTTGGGACACCATCATCATGATAGCTCACCCTTTGCTGATTTCTTTTCTAGAATTACTGGGAAAGAAAATCTGATTGGCATAGCTTGGGTCAGGTGTCCCCACTCCTGCCTTCCCCCCTCCCTGTCAAAGGCAAAGTAGAAAACCTTGACTCAAGGCCCCATCAAGGAAGGCTTCAGGCAATGGGAAGGGGCAATTTGCCAAAGGAAAACGGTGGAGCAGGAAAAAAATATCAGAAACGTACTATGTCCCCATCGTTGAAAAAACAGAAGGAGAGGCCACCTATTTGTCGAGAATCCTAAAGAAGGGATTTCTGTGCTGTAAGGAAGTTGGACAAGACAGTTTAGAAGGTCCTTCCAGTTCTATGTTTCTAAAGAGGAATTGAGAAGTGGAATTGATTACTGAGATCCAGGGTCATTAGGAAAGGCCTAAAAAGGAATATTTATCTGATCTTGGTTATAAGGGAAGGATGGGATGCAGCTAACAGGGAAGTAACCATAGAGTAGGCATGGTCGTCCAGGGGACTGATCACTGGCCTTGGTCATTGAATGTCATGGGTATTGAGGCATCATGGATACACTTTGAACAATGGAGAGACATGTAATAAAACCTGGCTTAGGAAATTTAAGCTGGTAACTGTTAGTAGATTGAACTAGAGAAAGGCAAGGCCAAAGGCAGGGATATCAATTAGTTTGAGAGCCTAAGCCAAGGTGATAGCAGCAGGAAGGGAAGGGAAGCAGCAGATGAGAGGCATTTCTCATGCAGTGCCTATAGAATTTACAGGAAAAGGCGAGAGTGAGAGAAAGAGGTCAAGAATGACTCCAGGTTTCAAACCTGGAGACCTAGGAAAAGGGTAGTATAACTGGAAGAAAGGTGACAACTTCTAATTTAGATATATTGAATCTGAGGTGATGGATATCAATTAGTACGAGCTTGAAATTCAGCGAGAGATATGAAGGCTGAAAACGTAGATCCTGGATTCCCCCATGTAGAGATTGCACTTGAGGATATATGAATAGATGACTTTCTATAAGAAAAGTATAATGCAAAAGGGCAATTAAGTCCTTTTAGAAAGAGGCAACCACTAAGAACTAGAACCACTAGAAATCATTTCAGGAATAATGAAACTTGAATTGGCTTTTAAAGGAGGGGAGCTGGGAAGGAATCCCCAACAGGGACATGTTTATAACCAGGATTGATCAGCAAATTTCAAAACTGGATCGATCAACATGATCCCTGCATTTAAAAACTGGAATGATCTGCATGATTTCCTCTAAAAAAAATTATTCTTTTTATTCTGCCACCTATCTACTCTGTGCCATGGTTACAGATAGAGAACGGAAGAAATGGGATGTGACAGAAATTAGTAGATGTAGATCTCAAGAGAACTACTAGCTCTCCAGACCTACTTGTCTCGTGGGATGCTAAGTGGAGGGCTTAAAGTATGGACAGTGCTCTTGATGACAAAGGACATGCCAGCCTTAATGGTTAAAAGTGGGGACACATAATAGAACTCACCAGTCCTGAAATTCTGAATTTGACATCTGTGAGACAAAGCAATTGATGAAGAAACAGAAGAAATCACTGACACTAGTGACCTCTAGTGGAAATAGGCTTCAGGGAAATATAGATACAGATACCTAGATATACATACACATATTTTCCATTAGATTAGATAACATCAGTAGCACATTCAGCCAGTTTATTTCCAGAGGAGTATGAAGGAAGGGACTGCTGGAAATAGCACACAAATCCTACCCAGAAAGCGGAAATGTACCAGGAATACTTTGTTTTCTGAGTCAGACTAAGTTGATTAATTTTCTGGACACGTAATTGCTGTCAAAGACATTACCTGAGGAAAAAATAGTGTTTGGGCAGTGACTTCACTTGTCACTGGGCGGACTTGGCACGTTAATGGCAGCCAACAAGAGAACGTGCTGACAGATTTGAGGAGGAAGCAGCACTGGTTGCTATGCCTTTTAAGCATCTTTTCGTTATGACATGGAAGAAAGCTGTTATCTCTGAAATATGTACATATTTGCTATTCAGTATTTTATGGCTGGAGTCCTGTCTCTTTCCTTTGCCTGGTGGGTGTTTGTGCCAAGTGTTGGCAAAAACACTGTTGAGCTGGGAGGATGGGAGGGGACAATTGGTGGCCTTGGCCTTTGAAATGGGACCAACCTGCAAGCACAGTCAAGAAGGTCAACATCCGACCACGCCAGGCACTCCACACACGCTCTCTTTCAGAAGTGCTTTCAGGATATATAATCTTGACACTGAGGAAAAGCGAAGGAATGGGAGGGTTGATGGAGATTTTAAGTTTGTCTAATCATACTGGGGGCTAATAACGGGTGAGTTGAATTAAATGGGTGGGTGGGGCGTGTAGAAAAAGGAGCAAAGGAAAGGTTCAAAAAATGGAGATTATACAGAAGCAAACAGAATCAGCGTGATTAAGCCCTGGGCAACTGTCACTTCTGGCAGCAGAGAGATAGCTGTCCTGGTCTCGTATTACCTGTGTGGCAGGAGGTGTCACCTTGCCTTCTTTCATTATTTAACCCCCATCTCAGGCGCTGCTTTGTTTATGATGCTCTTGTGCAGCTCGGTGGGTCTGCTTTCCCCCAGATTTGCTCCCTCTCCTCTCCATGTCATTTCAAGGATGTAGAAACAACCTTTAGACAGCCTTTTGTGAGAATTCCACTCTGGTCTGCCATTTCCAGAGTTCTGGTCTCTGTGAATGGGCAAAAGGTGGTCTGGGTGCTCCCCAAGTCAAAGACTTCCCTGGTATTATTTCTCAGATGCCAGCTAAACCACAGAGAAGGGTTAAGAGAGACCAACATGAGTGGTCCTTCCTCTTTCCTCTGCAAAGATCTTTGCCCCCAGGATATGTACAGTCATTTAGCTCCGGAATAGGTCATTTCAGGGGTCTAGTCTAAGAACGAGTTTACTTACTGAAGATGAGCTAATGATTTTAATTTGCTCCAAGGCTTCTGTCAGGCTGTCTTCAATCTCAGAGTCATCTAAGGAGAAGAGGTCGCCGGCTCGTGAAAGATCTTTTTGTCCCAAGACGAGTCTGAAGAGTTGATGCATGCTGAGGGGTCTGATAATCAATGGACTGTCTGCAGGCCCAGGACCATGTGTCTCAGTCACCAGAGGTTAGTGAGACAAAAACATGTAGCAGGACATAGACTTCGTATTCCTTGAAAGGTCATTTTTCTCCAGACTTTGAGGTCTTCTTTGACACGCTCTGCAAGAGAAATAAATGACACAAGATAGCCTTTAGTAGGATGGCATGAGCTCAGAATGTGAACTTGGTGCCCAGAAGAGAGAGAGGAAAACAAAGACATTTGGAAATGTGCATGGAATCACAGATTCTGGCTTGATGATCTTCAAAAGAACTCTTTCCTTATTTTGTCTCAAAAAGTCCTGTCAAAAATGATTCTATTTCTCCAGAATTTAATTTGAGCCTCAAAAAGCAGCTTAAATCCCCTACTTTTCCCCTTTCTGTATCCTTTCCATATCCTGTCCTTCTCTCTCTGCCACAAGGAAACAAGTGGACCAGCAACAAATATGCCCAATACCTGCCAGATTTTCCCCAAACAGATTCCCATGGGAAGCAAACAGAAAAGGGCAATGAAAGGAAGACAGAACACAGGAAACACCTTTTAGACCCACTGCCTGTTTCCTGGACGTGGAAACCAATGCTTAACTTACCTCCTTGGCGGGGCTTCTTGGCTGTATTGACAACAGGAGCTTCCTGAACCTCAGTCCAGAGGTGCCCTATTCTTATGTACTCTCTAAACAAATGGCTATGAAATAAAGAACTCTGCCTGGGAGTATGAGACCAGATAAATCTCTATAGAACGTGAGCGTGAACTTGAACACAGAGCTTGAAGGTGAGAACGTTGCAATGAAGGCTAAAGGGGAAGGGTTTTAGGATCGGGCAATCCTCCCTCTATTCCCAAAGTTGAAATAATAAAGTCCCATTGTAGTTCTTACTTAATTAACAGCCCACAGAGAGTAAGGCAATGGTACCAATTAAATAACTGATTATTCTCATCAGCTCCTTTCTGGGCCTAATAAAACCATAGACCATTTGCACTGGTAGAGACCTTAGCAATCATTTCATAACCAGGGAGGTTTAAGACTTCTTTGAGGCCTCACAGTAGCTGTGGCAGTGCCCTTCTCCTGATCTCAGGCCAGTGGGTTCCCCCCAAGTTTACATTAGAGTGGAGTCACCTCATACATACAGGTAACTTACAAATGCAGCCACTTGTTCCAAGAGTGAGAGCTGAGAGTGATTTATGTAACATAAGCAGTTTATGTAACATAAGCGATTCTGCCCAGCATTTCAGTCTGAATGTGTTCCCCAGAATGAGTGTGAAAAGGGAAAGTCTGCTGCTCCCTTGGGTGTCCCCCCGTGAGCTATCACTGTGGCAGCACCTCTCTGTGCTGAAAGCACTTTTAAAGTTACATACTTTCCATACAACATGCTCTCTAAACACAAGCCAAACCCCTCATCAGGCACCTAACTGAAGAAGCGATCTGTAGTATTCCAAATGGTGCAATTCACAGGCCAGTGAAGAGATGTCAAGGGTAGTATTGCCTACATGCAGCTTTTGCACTACCTACCAGCTTTAGAAAAATGACGCCCAATACTTACATATGCTTGTCTATATGCCAGATCCTGGATGCTTTGTAAACATTAACTCATTTAATCCTCATAACAACTGTATGAGGCTATTTCATTCCTGTTTTACAGGTGAGGAACGCAAGGCATTAAATAACTTGTCTAAGCCACATAGCTAGTAGATTAGAGAGCTGGGATTTGGACCCAGAGACTCCAGTGCTGGGCTCCCAGTCGATAACTGCTGTGGACTGATGATGACACATAAGACTCCACATGAAGCTACCATTAGGAGTAGAAACCTCATTAGTAACATTTGAGGGTGAAGATATGGGTAGGGTCATAAAGCAAGAAGATGAATTTCTCTTGCCTCCTACACTGGCCCTGCATCCTTGTCCATCTACACCCTGGGATTTAGGCCAACCAGAGAGCAGGAGAGTCATAAGGAAGAGAGGCTTAGAGGATGAGAAAAGAACGAGAGGGGTGGGGAAGGTTTCAGGGGATGGGGAGAGAGGAGAGTGAGGATCCTACAAAGGACCTTTGCATCCTGGCAAATGTGGAGGGGTGAATTACAATATGTACAAGAAAAATTAGGGCAGTGTTTTCCTGAATTTTCCCCTGCTCGCCTCGCCCTCCCCCACCCAGGTATTTGCAATGACAGAGTCTCCGTGAAATAACATTCAGGAAAATAAAGTATTGGATGGAAATTACTTCACCTTGACCAGTCAGCTTGTTGGTCACTATCAGGCACTTCTGGAAGCAGATTGAGCTGCCCCAGACATAGCAGAGCTTCTCAAGCTGGAACTCGAGAAGGAGCAGAAATACGTGCTGGGGGAGAGGGGCACCCACAAGGTTCTCCTGGGCTCCTTCTTTTCTTTTCACACTTGCAGTGACACCTGGTGTGGAGTCCCACGTTCATGCTTCCAACTGCAGCTGTTACTCTTGTGTGTCCACCATGTGCAACATTGTTATTCAACACATAGCCATACATGAAAACTTTCACACATCCAGGGGTGGAGGAGGGAGAGAGGAGACTTGTACCAAACATTCTACATTACAAGGATGACCCAGAGAAAAGTCGCCGAGGTACTACAAAAGGAAGTTTGGGGAAGTACGAGGGAGAGAGAGATCTCTCCTAGGGCAAGATGACAAGGAATGGGTCTGTGGAGGAAATGGTGTTTAGCCAGAACTTTCAGGTTTCATTCAGTGCATGTGTGCTGAGTACATACTAAGCCACCTGCTTGTCTGGGGCCCCAGATTCAAGTTCCAGCCCAGCCAGTCAGTGGTCATGGGGCCTTTGGTTCATGCTCTGCCCTTCCCCAAGCCTCAGTTTTCTCATCTGCAAAACGTGTGTAAGGCACACCTCATCTACCTCATCAGGTTGTTTTGAAGATCAAAGCAGATAACACACAAAAGAGCACTTTGTAAAATAATGACACCACCAGCTGATGTTTAGTGGGTGTTTACCATGTGTCAGGCACTACTCTTGAGAGTTTCCCACATAACAAGTCACTGAATTCTCACAACAATTCCATGCAATGAGAAACTGATGTCCAGAGAGGAAAACAAGCAGTCCAGGGGGACCTGGAGAGTAAGTTGCAGAGTCAGGATTGAAAGCAGTTGGTCTCCCAGGACAAAGCCCCTCTCAGGACTGTGTGTAGGTACATACATGACTGTGCATGGTAATTATTGAGTGCCTCCCTTCCATCTGTCCTCATTTAAAGAGCACCCTGCATCCTTATCCAGTCCTCCCTTTCCTGGATAAGAATCAACAGGGCATGTTATTTATTTTTCAGCAGCTCCGGTCAATGTTTTGCTCAGGTGTCTGGCTTCTCTTGCTGCTCTGTTTGCAACAGCCCAGAAGGTTAGAGCCGGATCAAATTTTACCTCATCTTCTGAGAAACTTCGTGCTTTTATGAATGTCATAGTCCTGTGGCCTATATGTAGGTGTACATATGCATCCACCGTACACACACAAGCACACGTATGTACACACACTAGGATACTTCCTATGTACCAAGTTCTTCACTAGACACTTTCTTCTCAGTTCTCCCATCAACCCTGCAGGTAGATATGATTACCGAAGAGGAAACAGGACTGGTGAGGTTAAACATCATGCCCCAGGTTACACACAGAGCCAAGATTCACATCCAAGTAGGTCAGCCTCCAAATCTTCTACTTTCTATGTTACAAAAACTGGCTTATAAAATTCCTTTTCATCCCCGCCTTTGGCCCTCCTAATTTCATTCCCTAATCTGACGCCCAGGTTCTCATTATTCAGTCTACATTTTTTAAGCAGATGTTGACTGACAAGTCGGGTTTCTGTATGGAGAAACAGACACCCCAAAAAGAGAAATTATTCTGAACCATGCGCAACACATTTCGGGGAGTCCCAGCTGTCCCCCACAAACGCGCTTTACCTGCGTGCTACTCCTCAAAGGCGCACTTGCTGCTACTCAACGGTCTATTTTGAGACTGGGTGGGAGACTCGGGCAGCGGACTCCAAGGGCACAGGGAGTGGAATCTACTCAGCTCAGTGAACCTGAAGTTGTTCATTGCGGTGCCGGGTTCAAGAATTCTAGGAATGCCACTGGCAGCTCTGGAGCTGGTCAGGTGACAGGCTGCGCCTCACCCAGTGGAGAGTTACCTCTGAGTGAAACGCTCTGTTTCCTGGGGTGAAACAGAAAGCCTGCTCCAGTAAAGTGGAGTTGTTTTTAACAGCGAAAACAAAACTGCCTGTGTTCATGAAAATCTATACTTTCCCTGAGAAGAATGGAGGGGGGAAAAAAAAAAAGCCACGCAGATAACACGGTTTCAATAGGAACTCAAGCAGGTGAATGGGACGGCTATCGGAGCCATTTCTCAACATCCACCCCCCTCCCCTCCCCGGAAGGGAGGAGAATTGCAGCTTAATTAACACTTCCCTCGCCCTCGAGATTTCACGTACAGAGTTTGAAACACTGAGAGTTTGTTCAGGAAGAGTCACAGCTCCTAAAGAAGTCATACTTTTGCTCTGCCTCTAGATCAACATTGTTGAAAGTTTCAGGATGCAGGAAGTTGCTAATAAAGAGAACAAACTCACCCAACAAAGATGCATACCCTGTTTTTTCCCACTTTATTTGCTGGGAGATTCTTGGATCAGACTTAGATTGGTACTTTAAATATTGCAGCAATACTCAGAGAAAATGTTTATCTGCTTCATCTGTTGATACTGCAGAGGAGAAAAAGGTACCTAAACCCTTCCTTACTGTTTCAAAAGTTAGTGACACATCTTTAAAACATGTTTTAAACCATATTATTCTCTACCCCTAGCTTGTCTGTTCCTATAGTAGGTCTGCTCGTCCCATGGATTCACCTATCTGCTGACAAAGTGCACAAAAAGTTGTGCTGCAGATAAATTCATCTGCACGATCACCAAGATGTGAACACTGCAGGTGTCTCCCCAGTGGTGCTACCCCATAAAGGTGTGTGCTCAGGGTGGCCACACACCTGCCACTGAACCAGGTCATATGCTTCAGGAGAATAACCTCTTAAATCTTCCTAAACACTTGGTGGTCAGTCTATTTTTACGCCATCCACATGTGGAGGACTGTCCCCTTAAAGAGTTTACTTT